TATATATATATATATATATAAAAGAGAACCATATGCCCGCCTACGTGGCGTCATCACAAACCAAGATTCCCTATGTTTGTTCACACTACCCTTTGTTGTCTATAAATAGAGGGATTTCCTCTCATTTTTAAAACAACGAAAATTTTTGAACTTCTTCTTCTTCTGCACAATTAAATATTATTTTTGTATCAATACACTGGTGAATACAATCATTATATCCTGAGAGGATCTATTCCTTTAAACCTCGGGTACTAGAGGGGAATAATTTTCTTAAAGGAACACTATGCATTTAATGGGCTCAATTTTTTCCAGTCTGTTTCATTCTATTGTTACAGATCCTGGTATGCTTGTTTTAAACTTTGTTGTTTATGTTACTGCAAAGTTATTGTTAGTACAAATTAAATAACACACGTTAATTGAGTATTCACACAAGTTTTCTCTACTGAAATTTTAGTTTCAAATTGAACTTCATCACTCTAGTATGTTGATTTTTAAAAAAACACCCAAATAAACTGAATAGCTTTATGTAATAATTTCCCTTTCAAGTATATATAATAAGTTGAATTATTGTCCCATATGATACCTTCTCCCTTTAATTTTTCATTTTAATAATTACTTATGATATATTTAAATAGGGAACTTTAAAATGATATATGTAAAGCAAAATTGGTAGGGTTGAACTTTCTACACGTTAGAATTAGAATATTTATTCACTTTTTCAGTCTTTCAAAATCTATTTATCCCTTCACCAACGATTATTTATTTATTAGAAAATTTTAATATCTCTGGTTGATGTTCATTTGATTCCCCAAAAATATCAAATAGTAACACTTCTTGGAAGCAAAAGGATAAATCATAAAATCAAATTAAAAATGATTGATTGAAGGATAAGTGATAAGATGTTATAATTATCATCTTCGTTTACATTATTAATATTTGTTACTACGTAATATTGTATATAAGATAATATAATATTTTAATTTTAGTGACGGATATGTTTTAAGTATTATTTTATAAATCCCATGATAATAAATTCCCGCGCGAGGCGCAGGTGATTTAACTAGTAATGTATAATTTTATACCCTATTATACAAAACAAAATTTTGTCAAACTTTGCAACTTGATTTCTCTCAAACGGCAAGATTGAATCTTCTGAAAATTTGTGGAGAAGTATAGTGATGGTCTATCATCCCCAATAGGGGAGATGTCATGAATCACAATAGACATCGTTGCAATATAATATACACACAAAAATATTTAAGTTAAATAAGATGTAAATTTTATTCTTAAGAATGAATAACTAAAACTTGCAAAGAAAATATATAAAAAAAAAAAGGTGGAGACAAACAACTTATTCTTAAAAATTAGGCATAACACATATATTTGACCCTATACTTGGCTTCAAATTTTAACTTTGACCTCCAACTTTCATAGTGCACAAACATGCACTTTAACTATCCAACCTTTTAATAAATAAACACGCGAGTCATACTTGGCAAAACGCGTGATATGTACGTATTCTGCATGAGTTAGGAGAAATGACAACTCTACCACGCAACGAATCAATCTCTTCAGGGTTTCCATTTACAATGCCTGGGGTTCTAAAATGCAAGAATAGTGTATCCCATTTTCTTCATTCACTAAGACGCGTAAACAAGTATCAAACTCAGACGAACATAAATGTAGCGATATGGATTAGATTACAACACGACATTACAAATGTATTTTTGACAAATCCAAATACAGGAAAAAGAAGAAATGACACAATCAATGGATCAACAACTCTAGTTTCTCACATTGGCATAATACATATATTGGACCCTAAACTTGGCTTCAAATTTTAACTTTGACCTCCAACTTTCATAGTGCACAAACAGGCACTTTAATTATCCAACTTTTAAATAAATAAACAAGCAATTTTTACAGCCAAAGAGCGTGAAATGCAAACGCTCCAACGTGTATTAGTGAGCCACTCAATGACTGCCAACTAATTAAATATTTTACACGTCATTTTAGAACTAAAAAAAATCAAAATTAATTTTATTTTATATACAAGAATCAAAATTAATTCCTCCTAATGGTTTTTAGAGCTTGGGGCTCATTGTTTGACGGAGCTTAGAAGTTTGTTTATGGCTGGCTTCTTGGTTTAGGTGTTTGTGGTTGTTGGGTCTGTTGGTTGCAGCAGTGTTGTTTCGTGATGATTCTCGCCGGAGATGGCGGATCTGATGGGTTTGGGGTCGGGTATTTGGTGGGTTTAGCGAGCTCGATCGTTTCATGGGTTGTGCTCCAGTGTGGAGGAAGAAAGAGACCGGCTGGGTTGGAGGTACTTATTTGGGGTCATTTGGTGGTGGCGTTTTGCCTGAAAAAGAAGAAAATGAACGGGGGTTTTGGGTTGCCGGAGATTGGCCGGAATCTGGGGGGTAGAGTTGTCATTTCAGCATATTTTTACTGTTGTGGGAATCAAAAATTACTCCTAACTCGCACAGAGAACGTGCACATCACGCGTTTTGCCAAGTAAGATTCGCGTGTTTTATTTATTAAAAAGGTTGGATAGTTAAAGTGTTTGTTTGTGCACTATGAAAGTTGGAGGTCAAAATTAAAATTTAAATCCAAGTTTAGGGTCCAATATATGTATTATGCCTATTTTGAATATGACAAATCAAAGAAGCAATAAAAATTTATCTAACATAACTAATTCCAGCATAACTTGTTTTCAAACCAACTGACAGTGTATATGGTATGAAGGAAAATATTTTCCAAATCAACTTGTTTTGTTCAAATTTAAGGAAAATGACTTACCTCTAGAAAATTAGGAAAACATTTTTCAGAACTCTTTTTCAACCTCACACCTCAACTTTTCACCCTAACTCAAGTCTCGAGTTATTCTCGATACAAATTCGGGATCTGACTCCTGATTCTTGATTCGGGACCTGACTCTCGACCTCGATTCAAGACCCGACTCAGGAGATGGATTTAAATCAAATTCTGATTTGGGTGTCGAGTCCCAGGTCAGGATTTAAGGTCGAATCTTGGATTGGATGTCGAGGTTTATTCCCGAGTCAGGTGTCGATATGGGGTTCCAAATTGAGTGTTAGAGTCAGGTTTTGAGTCAAGAGTCGAGATCTAGTCCCAGGTCAGTTGACGGATTTGAGTCCTGGATCAGTTATCGAGGTAGGGTATCGTGGTTGAATTCCGATTTGAAAGTCAAGTCATTGATAGGGAGTTGGATCAAATCTCGATTTGGAAGTTGGGTCAAGTGTCGGGGTCAGGTTTCACATCGAGTGTTGAGGTCGAATCTTGGTTTGGATCTCGCGTTAGGTGTCGAGATCGAGATCCGAAACAATCATCGAGTTAAAGATTAGGGTCAACGTCAATGTCGAGTCCTAGGTTAGGAGTTGAGGTCAGGTCCTGGATCAATTATCAAAGTTGATTTTCAGATCAAAAACTATTTTCCTAAAATGTATTTCTTTATCTCTAGCCAAAATAAAAGTTTTTTTTCTGAAAAATGTTTTTCATTCACCAACCAAACACTCGAAATAAAATTCCATTCATCAACCAAACATGAGAAAATAATTTCTAAGAAAACAATTTCCTCCATACCAAACACACCCTTAAGTCTCAATCCCAAAGAATATTGAGGGTTGACAAATGGTTATATGAATCATCATTATCAATATTGTTCTATTATTAATTAAATAGATGATGGTGAAAGATACACCTAAAGTATCCTAATTATTGAGTCTCATATTCGAACAATCAATTGAGCACTCTAACTTTCAAAATGATCATCTAGGCACCTAATTCAAAACTTATGTGTCACGTCAACGTCAGGTGTTCATTAGACACAATGATGACAAATTGAAGTGTTTAATTGTCAATTAAGACCAAATTGAGATGTATAGATATACACTCTCAAAGTTGAAGTGCTTATTTGATTAGATTGAATCAAATCAAGAAAAAGAAACTCAATCAAGGATTTGGTTTGGCATTGAAGAAAAAAAAATCGATATAATTAACTTAGTTTATTCATAACTTAAGAAAAAGCATATCAAAATCAAACCAAAGTGATATTATATTTATACAAATTTTATAAATATGTTATACTTTAAAATATTTATTATAATTCTTAATAAATAATGGTTGTAGATGCCAAATGGTGGTATGTAATTAATGGTGGACGATGGCAGTAGGTTGGATGAGGGAATTGTTGAACTGCTAACAACATATCCAGTAAAATCCCACTAAGTGGGATCTGAGGAGGGTAGAGTGTACGCATACTCTACCTCCAATTTTCATGAAAATATTTAAATAGATACCTTAATAATATTAATATTTTTTTTCTTATAGAGATTAATCATTCAGATTTATTCAGATACTGGAAAAAAAAAAGGGGGTGGGGGGGGGGGTTGTGATCACTATTCTGATGGAATAATGCAAAGTCAAATATTGACTATATAGAAATTAGAAAGATATCATGTGCACTACAACCAAACCAATTTTAAATTTTCTGGGAATGTGTACTAATAATTCTTTTACTAATTAATCAAAGAGAAGAAAAGTAAACTAAATTATACTTAACTCTAGAGTCAAACTTCTTCTGGCAGCAATTAACAGCCAACTTTGATTTGAATTTCTCCCATGTCTTTTGTCCTTATAAGTCTATGTATTGCCGTAAAAAATCCAAACGCCTAAAGATGGTTGATGCCTCTGTGTCATTCGCAGTAAAAAAATTGGGGGATTTTCTCATACAGGAAGCTTCCCTGCGTACAAGTCTCAGACAGGATGTGCGGTGGATGCGAAATGAGCTGTTCTTCATGCAGTCTTTCCTCAAAGATGCAGAACAAAAACAAGTTGTAGATCAAAGAGTTCAACAATGGGTGTTTGAAATCAACTCGATTGCTAATGACGCTGTTGCTATACTCAAGGCTTATAGCTTCGAGGATAGTAAAGGTGACGACGCTAGATTTGCTAGTCGTCTGAAGGCTTAAACTTGCATCTGCAGGAAGGAGACAAAGTTCTATAACGTCACCAAGGAGATCCAATCACTAAAGCATCGAATCATGGATATCTCTCACAAACGAGAGACTTATGGTATTAGAGATATGAATAATGCAGGAGAAAGGCCAAGTAATCGCCCAAACAATCAGTATGACATGGTTAGAACATTGAGGAGAACTACCTCATATGTAGATGAGGATCACATTTTTGTTGGCTTTCAGGATGTTGTACAAACATTGCTAACTGAACTTCTCAAACCAGAGCCTCACAGAAGAGTCATCTCCATTTATGGTATGGGAGGATTAGGCAAGACAACTCTTGCGAGAAACCTATACATCAGTCCTAATATTGCCTCTAGCTTCCCTACACGTGCTTGGATATGTGTTTCTCAAGAGTACAACACCATGGATCTCCTTTGGAATATCATAAAATCCATCCAAGGTTGCACCAAGGAAACTCTAGATTTGTTGGAAAAGATGACAGAGAGAGATCTAGAAATTTACCTTCGTGATCTTTTAAAAGAACCCAAATACCATGTGGTGGTCGATGATTTATGGCATAGAGAAGCATGGGAAAGTTTTGAAATGAGCATTTCCAGATAGCAAGAACGGCAGCAGAGTTATTATTACCACACGCAAAGAGGATGTCGCTGAAAGAGCAGATAACAAAGGTTTTGTCTATAGACTTCGTTTCCTGAGCCAAGAAGAAAGTTGGGATCTCTTTTGTAGGAAACTACTAGATGTTCAGGCAAAGGTCTCAGCAATGGAAAGGCTAGCAAAGGAAATGGTGGACAAGTGTGGAGGTTTACCTCTTGCAGTTGTTGTATTAAGCGGACTACTTTCACATAAAAGGGG